TTGCTTCTCCCTGTATTTATAAACTTTGACATGTTTCTGAGGGTAGCAGGTCCTTACAGTTGTCCAGTCAGCTTTAATTAGGTGTTCTGTGGAATAATCTTAATCACTGGTTTGTGTGTCTGGGCCTTTTTGGTGGCGGCATCCTTGCCACCAAACCGAGCTACTTTACACGGAAATTCTGGTGTTTGTTCACAAAAGATTTGGTCTGATAATGTACATGTTTTCAAGCACTTTATCAATCATTAAATTAAAAAAAAGAAAGAAATGAGCACTCCTTTTGGATTTAAGTTTCCCACATAGTGATATTGTTCAGCTGTAGTTCGAACGGTTTCTTTTTAATTAAACTGTCCCTTTGTAAATAGCATCTTAGAATAAATGAAAGTGAACAACATTAATGCAAACTAAAATGAGTGTGGCTGAAAACAACCAAATTTGTTTCTCTGGTAGCTGTATTGATTATACCATCTAATAACACGTTATTTGTGGTTGTAAGCACTTTAAATAAAAAGAAAATGAGCATTAAAAAAATAAATCATTGCTGCTTTTTTCTTTCAGTTGAGTACTGTGTAGCAAAGGCTTTTTAAATGCAATAAAGCAAATAATATATATCAAAAGGAAGGATGGTGTTAACCACCTGTTATTTATTAGTGCACAAAGTAAAGGGCTTAAAATTGTATGGGGCTTGTAAACATGGTGCAACTCTTGACTGAGGGACTAATCCTTAGGAAGGAAACTTTTCTACGCTATTTCTTGTCATCAGGTTCTACAACCATTTGCCTGACTTTTAACAACCTGATAAAAAAAAAAAGTTGCTGATATGTCCTTAGGGGGCCTTAATGAGTTTAATTTTTCAAAAATGTCCTATACTGCTGACAGGACTGACCTCATGTAGCACAAGGCTGCTTTGATCACCCTCTGCAGGGGCTTGCTGATCTTGAGCTGAGCAACTCCCAAACCATTCAGGGGAGATCTTAACTCTCTCCAGCTGCCACTGATGATAAAGTCTTTGCTCAGCTTTAGGGAACAAAGTTCCTGTATGTTTGAATCAGGTGATGTCCTCCTGAATGTGGACATAAAGATTTATGAAGCTGCTTACTCTGCACAGGTGCATCATTGATCTAGACGGCCTTGTGGAAGCGGATGCTGTTTTCAGGGTTATCGTCATCATCATTATTTGTTTACTAAACACTGTAAAAAAAAAACAAAGTGCCTTACGGGTACATAAGAACCGAGGGGAGGATTAAAATAATATAAAGAGGATAAACCATGAAATCAAACACTGACAATATACATAATGAAATGAGCGATGGAGGCAAATAGAGGCTGGCATTATGGTCGTTCCTTATGGTGTTAAAAACTAGTTTAAATATATGATTTTTTAAAGTCGTTTAACATTCCAGGTGGACGAGTTTGACTTTTCCAGACTCCTGGAGGTGAAACAAAATGAGTATGATGTGTTTATGTCATCTTTTCCCTGTTAGCAGAAGGGTAGCTGCCAAAGAGTAAACTGGTCCATCCTCTAACATAGGGAGTCGTAATAGTCCACTCTAGAATCGTTAGATGTATGAATAATCCTGTTCAGGACATTATGTGGATAATCTCCCACTTTACTCCTATGATTACTGCACTGACATGTTCAGTGGTATCAAAAAAGGAATCACTTTAAGATTCCTGATAGACAAACAGTGGGAATCATCCCATCATCGTCATCTCGACTACTGTTCTATAATTTGGGCAA